GAGTAAAGCTTTAATGTTCTCACCATACCAATGAAAACAACAACAAAATGGTAATTATGTGAGGTGAAGGATGTGTTAACTAACCTTATTGTGGTAAACATTTAGCGATCTAAATGTGTATCAAATCATCAAATTGTACACCTTAAACTTACACATATGTCAATTATATCTCAATAAAGCTGGAAAAGATTTACCATGTTCACCATTCTTTTAAGTGTATGGTTCAGCGGTATTAAGTACATTCACATTGTGCAAACCATCACCACCATCCATCTCCATTCATCTTTTAAAGCTGAAATCTATACCCATTAAACAATAACTCCCCATTCTCCCTGCCTCCAGTTCCTGGCAGCCACCATTCTACTTTCTATCTCTATGAATTTAAGTACTCTAGGTACCTCATATAAGTAGAATTATGCAGTATTTGTCCTTTTGTGGCTGGCTTATTTCATTTAGCATAATGTTCTCAAAGTTCATCCATGTTGTAGCGTGTGTCAGAATTCCCTTCATGTTTAAGGTTGAATAATATTCCATTGTATGTATATACACATTCTGTTTATCCATTCATCCATCAAAGGGCACTTGGGCTGCTTCTACCTTTTGGCTATTGAGAATAACACTGCTATGAGCATTGGTGTACATGCATCTGTTCAAGTCCCTGCTTTCAATTCTCGGTATATATCCAGGTGTGCAATTGCTGATTTATATGGTAATTCTATGTTTAACTTTTTGAGGAACTCCCAAACTGTTTCCCTATTGGCTGTACCATTTTACATACCTACCAGAATGCACAAGTGTTCCAATTTCTGCACATCCTCACCAACACTGGTTATTTTCCATTTTTTAAATAATAACCATCTTAGTGAGTGTGAAGTGGTAGCTCATCACAGTTTTGCTTTGCATTTCCCTAACGTCTAATGATGTTGAGCATCTTTTTTTTTTCTTTTTGGTGAGGAAGATTGGCCCTGAGCTAACATCTGCACCAATCTTCCTCTTTTCGCTTGAGGAAGATTGTCTCTGAGCTGATATCTGTGCCAATCTTCCTTCATTTTGCATGTGGGAGGCTGCCACAGTGTGGCTTGAGGAGGGATGTGTGGGTCTGTGCCTGGGATCTGAACCTGTGAACCCCAGGCCACTGAAGTGGAGTGTGCAAACTCAACAACTGCACCACCGGGCTGTCCCCAATGTTGAGCATCTTTTCATCTGTTTATTGGCCATTTGTATATCTTCTTTGGAGAAATACCTGCTCAAGTCTTCCCTTCATCTATCTTCGAATTATTTGTTTTTTTGTTGTTGAGTTGTATGATACTTTTTAATCACTATATTAGGTGCTGAAAGTATAGTAATGGATAAAACACAGACCCTGCCCCCAAGAAATGCACAGGGTAGTGGGAAAAGCAGGCAATATTCTGATGCTGTGTGGTAAATCCAATGACAATTGTATGCTCAAGGTATTATGAGAGTTTTTTAAAAGAGGGGTACACTGGTGGAGATGGGAAGCAGACATGGAAGTTTTCCTGGGTGATATGGTACTTAAACAGAGTCTTAACAGAGGGTAGCCTGGCAAAAAAGGGGGAGGGTGGGCATTCCGGGCAGAAAGGCAACCATGAGCAATGGCTCACAGGCATGAAACAGCAGGGCGTGTGCTGGAAGCTACAAGCATTTACATGCTATTGAAGTAGCAAGTCCAAGGCAGGCAGTGGCAAGAGAAGAAGCTGGAGAAGTAGACAGGGACTGGATCATGCCAGGTGTTATAGGCTATTGCAAGGTATGTTTAGGCTTTATCTGGGGAGGTATGGGGTGCCATTGAAAAGTCTTAAGTAGAGGAGTAACATAGTCCAACTTGTGTTTTTGATCATAGCTTCCCAATCTTTTTTCATATTATATCATAGTATACATAGCATGATAACCTTCACATGCCATTCTGATGTAGGGAGACTGGCGGCTGCATGCCGATGGAGACTAGAGGCCCAGGCTTTAGCTGCCCCAGGCCTAACACAGCTGTCCCAAGAGCTAAGACTGGGAAGGTGTTTTAGATAGAGCATTCTGACAGTCACGCGAAGAACGGATTGGAGGAAAACAACACTGGAGGCAGGGTGTCCAGTTAAACTAACCAGGTACAGTAGGGATAGAGAAAATAACCAGGAGATAGAGTTAACAGGACTTAGACTGGATATAGAAGGTGGGGGATGAGGAGTCAAATGTGATTCCCAGGTTTCTTGCTTGGATAAATGGATGGAGCAGCATATTTGAGAGGGAAGATGATAAGTTTAGGGCTGGATGTAAAGATTTGATTTACTTTGAGGTGAGTGGCTGGAGATGCCCAAGAGATGGTCATTATGTCCTTATTGGCTCTATCGGCTATGGAGAATTGAGCTGCATAGACCAAGGATCCAGTTCAGTGTGAAGATTCTTAGAGCTTTAAAAGGAGCCATGGGAGTGACCGTACTAGGGATCCACCTTCTTTGAAAAGTTTCCCAGCCCACAGCCTCAAAGTGGCAACCTTTCTTATGTACTATGTGACTCCATTTTTTGGGCCACAACTAAGTGTAACAGGGATGAAGATTTGACTCACCAATAACATTCTCTTATGAGAATCAGGCATTGGGGCCTAGTCATTGAGTCTATTGTTGGTGGGGAACCAAGCTTGAAGGTCAAATCGAATAATCGTTCTCAAATTGTGTCCCCAGATTGTGAGAATCATTTGGGAACCTGTTAGAAATTCTAATTTCTCATACTTCATCCCATATCCACTGAATCAGAGACTCTTGAGTGGTCCCAGTAATCTACGTGTTACAAGCTACTAGGTACTTCTGGTACAGGCTCTCAGTGATATAGACTCTTAGGATAAGACCACCATTCTGAGAGTAGCCCTGATCAGTCACCTGAGTGCTGATAAGTAAGCAGAGAAAACTGGTTTGCAGAGAGAAGCAGGAGACTAGAGGAGAAAGAGACAGAGATTCAGAGAGGAGAAACAAATCACCTGATAACTTTTCAGTTCTACGAGGCCCCGTTGTTCTTTCTGCAATAGGAATTTGTGAAATTTCCCTGTATCATTACATAAATCCCTTTTATTTGAATGAAGTTTTCTTCTTTACAAGAAAAGTGCCCTGATTTCTTAGTCGATTATTTCTCCAAAAATCTATTACGCGTTTACTGTGTGGCTACTGTTCGAGGCATCATAAAGGATGTCAAGATCAACTAGACCTGGTTCTTGCCTTTGAGAAGCCCAGCTCAACGGAGGCGGCATAAAGTCAATGTAGGGGAGGTGGCTACTGAATTTTGAGATTACCTGGTAAGCACTAAATAAATACTAGCTGCATCTGAGTGGAAGAGTTGATAGTTGACATATACCTTGAATGATGAGTTTGCAAAGAAGAGGAGGAAGAAGAGGGAAAGGTGTTCCAAGTGGAGAGAAAAATAGCACATAGATATGGGAAACTATGGTATGGATCTGGGAAACGGTGAGTGATGTAAGGGCAAATACAAATTAAAAATAAGAGGCTGGATTCTCCTTGTTGAAAATAAAGGAGGTGACTTCTCTGCCACCCCCTCCCTTTCCTTTCAAAATTTCTGTCTCTGCCCTCTTCATATGTAAATCTCTTTAATGGCTAAAGAAGCCTCTCACTAATCTCACAACTCTGGAATGTTTTCTCATGGACCTGGGAGCCATCTCTTAGAAATGCAGACATCAAAGGAGAAAGACATAGAGCCCCATCCTGTAGCAGGGAGAGAGCCTAACTTCCCTGGGCACCTTGCTCCAATCTGCAAAACTACCTCCTGTGCTAAAGGTTTGAGAAGTTTGTTTCTCCTATGGATAAAGTCAACACAGGTGGCCTCCCCAGTTATGGCGATAAAGCTAGGACAAACTATGAATGACACAGGGTGCTGTCAAGCCTCCTACTTGCGGACTAGTTATTGTTTATCTTGAAAACATGTATATAATGGGTTGTATCTGCTTGGCTATATAAGGGAGTGAGATTCCTTTTTGTCGTTGTAATCTCTTAGCAGATTGCCTATGATGCACGTCCCATTCTGGTTTAATGTGTATTCACTAATAAAGGTGTTTTCTTTCACTACTACCTTTGTGGAGAGGATTTGGGGGTTGGAAGAAGATCTCGTTTTTAATTGTATTTTTCTAACAGCGGTTTGGCTCGTCTGGAGTGTACAGGTTACAGAAGGCAGGGGGAAAGACGAAGCTAGAGGGCAAGCCTAAGGCCAGAGCACGAAAGAGTACTATGTTAGAGTGTAGGCTTTATTCCACAGGCAGTGAGGAGCTCTCGAAGATTTTTAGTCAGGGAAGTGAAATAATCAATTTTTGACTGTAGAAAAATGACCCCGGCAGTAATGTGCAGGGTGGATTGGATAGGAGAAGGGTCAAGTGGGATAACAGTGAATGTGGACACAATAACAATTTAAAATACACTTAAAAGTTTACTTAGTCTGTTATTACTCAAAGGTTATTCTTAGACTGGCCTTTCCCTAAGCCCACTAACAATATCTGGATTTGTATATTTTTATTTTTACCACTCGGTAAAATTTCTCCAGGATGTGGGAAGTACTGGACAACGATAGTGGGTGTGGCTGCATGTTCAATACTCCTTGGCCATTTTTTTTTAATGGTTTGGGTGCTTCTCTGGCCCCACAGTCTCATCCCAATGATTCTTGAGGTCCTACACATCTTCAGGATCCAGAATATCTCTGATGGTGTCCATCAGGAGAAAGGAGCTTCTTACTACAGTGGTCTCTACCACTGGCTGGGGCTCAGTTTATGGTAAACATTTGCTTGATATTCAGTGAGGTCCTGTACACCGATCGAACTGGGATGTGACTGATAGCACAAATGCCTCATTTATTAGCAGCCCCTACCTGCAGCCCCAAATTGTGAACACTGATTGCCTGGAGTCATGTGAATTCAGGTTTTCCTAGTATAACAACCCGTGAATGAATTTCTCTGGGATTTTGTGAATAAAAATTGAGAAGAACCAAAGCACTTTGAATGGACTACACAGACATTTATTAAATAGTTAACAAAGGCACATCAATAACCACTTGTAATATATATATTTATAATTAACATAGATATGATTCCCTCTTAACTGCCAATTTCCCCAACAAACAATCATTCAACTCTTCAGGTCCTGAAGGCTAAAGGCAAAGTCCTGATCCTATTCTTCCCTACCCTTTTCTTGAGAGCCACATTGATCCTCAATGGGTTGACCATCATCTTTGGAGCCATGTCTCTAGCAACATGCTGACTGTGGAGACTCCTCAGATTCCTTCTGCGTTATTTCAAGTCCAGTTGTTAATGAACAGGCTGTCTGCTTTAACAGGTGCTGTTGCTACTGCTTGCTGCTATTCATCCCCCATTACTCTATGATTTTTCACCAGTCTATCTCTTTGCACGTGTACATGCATGCAATGCGCTGAATCACTTACAGGGAGAACTCTCCCTCTCACCAGGGAAACGTATGATTTTTCTGGCATCTGTTGTGCTTTGCCCCGGCTGCCCTGCCTGCCTCTGCACTGCACTGTTTCCATGCACAACACAAAAATGCTGGGCTGCACTGACCGGAACTTCCTTCTTATACTGATTTCTGCATCCACTTCAGAATGCTGTGGTTTTGCTTTGGGCGTCTGTTTGTAAGGACTGGAATCAGACCTCCAGCTCCTCTCACAAACCTCTCTCACTCTTATGTCCGGGTGGCTGCCCTTTCTGTCACTGGAGCTCTTGGCTTTTATTCCCCAGACTCTGACTGTCCTCCTGCCTGAGGGAGAAGTGTAAGTGCAGGCACTGAAAGGAAAATCTGGGAGGGCTCAGTTAAATGGGAATTTCTAGTAGAGGAAAGAGACAAGTGAAAAATCAGAGCATGCGTCCATCCATTGAATCTTCACAAGTATATGCATTAGACTGCTCCAGAAAATCAGGCCTGTCACTGAGTCATGTTCTCTACTACAGCTGCTGACCGTGGGAGTAGATTCTGGTCTGTGGAATTTTGGGATGTTCACTATCTAGTCAGTATTTTAGGTTCATTATTATATCAGAACTTTCCCAACAATAACAAAATTATAAGTCTTCCTGTTTTGGGTTTCTTGAGGTGGTAAATGACTGCACCACTTATCCATAAGAATTTGATCACTGCCTACAGGCTCTTGTTCAAATGCCTAGACGTTTGCCTCAGTAAAACATGTCTCCCTCATCTACGCATGTGGCCATCTGATAATCAATCACTGGAGAGTCATGCCTTTTTACATACAAACGCTCTCAGGAGGGGCAACACATTAAGCACTGCCAATCTTTGACACTGGAATGTATCACAACTAAGCTGCTCTCCATAGTCTGAGATCCCAACAGGAAAGTTCTGAAAGAGAAAAGTCCAGATCTACCTGGGAAAGCAGGCCTGATAAGTTGCTACCATGGGGCTTCTAGAGGGCTAGGGGCCACCATGAGGGGTGAGAAAAGGAGGGGTTTAGAAGGATGCTGGAAAAAGAGGTTGAAAACGGCAAGGGAAACTTGTTTTACATCCGGTTTTGCCTGTGGGTCAACTTTCTTCTGGCCAACAGAAATTCCATTTTGAAGATGGTCAGGAATGCCTGCCCTGAATTCTCACCCATCATTCAGCAGCTTCAAAGAGAAACACATAAACTGAATTCTGAAGAGGCCAGAGACCTCTTGGAAATGTCTATATACTGAACTGGTTTTAGTGCTGGGATTATCACAGACTCACAGAAACATGTACAACACATCAAAGGGCACAAAGTCAGCTTATCAAGAAGTGCCATAGTGGAACCACACTTAGAGATAGTAAAGCAGGACATAAGGGGCAAGGGAGCTGGTAGCTCTGTGTGATTCAGCTGATACTGGACAAGGACCCAACCTTCTCCCTGGCCCTTTTCATCGTTATAGTCACACGAATAATACTTTACTCTGTCACAACCTCTCATCCAGTCTCTTCACCTCAGTTTGCTATGAGCCTGACAAACAAATGGTGGCCAATGAGAAGAAGTTCTCAATTAGTATTTTTAAATATTTAGAAATCTGACAGAATAAAGTATTACCAAGTTACGTTGTGCTTTCTTAAAGAACAAAAATGATTATCTTTTCATTCCTGTGCCATTTGTTGGAGAATACCAATTTTAAGTGAGAGAAAACATTTTAATGGAAAAATTAATGCATCCCATTGTTATGAAACCATTGCTGCCCGTCTTGAAAAGAATGAATTGGCACTGGTTCCATATGTTACACTGAAGATGCAAAATACAAATGAATAACTTGGAAGGTATAAACTTCTAATAATGTATCTTAGAATATGCCTCAGAATTTCTGAAGCAGCATAGAAAACAGTAAGCATTATCTCAAAATTTTTAGTTTTCTTTTACCAAAATATGTGTCTTTCTTGTGTTAGTGACTTCAATATTACAGGAATAATACATCTAATACAATGAATGTATTATCTATATAGTTGAAAATACTGAAGGCATATTTGGAAGTGAATTTATTCTATGTATTAAATATAACATTGGACCAAGTCACAAATTTAAATTTTAGGTTAGAATTACTAAATATTAGGATTAATATACTAGAACATGAATAGCTTTTAAGTGAATTCCTAATGTGTGAATATGGATTCATAAAAAAAGAGATAATCAAGAAATTTATACATTTTATTAAAAGAACAAAAAAACATAGAAATAGCATACTAAAATGAGTTGCATAATGCACACTTTTAAACACAGACAAGCAATACAGGACTATAACTTGGAAAAAAACAAAAGAAATAAAAGCATCTGCCCTATAGATAGCAGTTGAGGGAATGAGCTATTGCATTTTGGAGGCAAAATATTATGGGTACAATTTATATTTATGAAATATTGTGATCGTTATTTAAATCTGTAATTGTTGCACAGGGTTAATACTTTTCTTATCTATAGGTATTTTTAAATTGGCATTTTTCTGCCCCAAAATGTGCTTCCATTTTCATGGATACCAGATTATTTTTATATTAATGCATAAACTTAGCCCTTACAAAAAGAGTACATTTAGGAGCATCTTTCTTAAAATCTTAATTTAAATTATTGTGATCCACGGGCAGGATAACAAATGGCTCATTTTCTAATAATTAAAGCAGCAACAACAATAATAAAAGGAAATTTACTTTGAAAAGGATAACCTCAGAATCCAATGACATGATGGTCATATCATTCTCTCAACTGCTAGACACAAAAGGCATAGCAACAAAATAATTTGCTTTCCATCATTAACAAATAGCATCTGTATACAGAAATAAAGCTTTGCAACCATGCAGTTCTATGACAGATAACGCTTTAGGTTGTGTGTTTTGAGAAAAAAGAGCACTGCTTAAAGTTGGGTTACTTTTAGGTCTAGTTACAGAGGTATTTTTTGAAGTAAAGTAATATGATGTAGAAGATGACTAGTGAGTTTTTATGCACTATCTACAAATAGCTGTGACTTATTTCATAGTGATGCGTTTTTTCTTTTTAGGTGTACTATAACTCAGGATGGGTTCCATTTAAAGATACAATTTCTCTGGAATAATCCTGCTTTGGAGTATCGATGGGTGGCTCTCCTCTGCGCAAGGACAAGTGAAGGGGCTAGAAACTGTATGAATTAGTCAAACTAAACCCTTCTCTGGGCTTAATAATAGAGGTCTTTTTTTGGGTCTCAAGTTATTCACATTCTGTTATATTTCATTCTTTAATTTTACTTATTTAAACATAGCACTGTGTTTAAGCTCCAAAGAGTGTGACCCAGTGGTTGTCAGCATGCACGTCATGCCATCAATTAAGCGGATATCTTTTGTGATGCTTCTAGGTTCATTCTTACTATTTTATAGACGATTCTTCCTGACTTAAAATCTTACTATATTTCTACTGACCTTACGAAAACATATTCTTGTGGCTTATAGATTTACAAGGAAACGTCAACACAAGAACACGGGTTAAGTTGAGAAAAGATGTTGGTGATAAGGCTGAAGTTGAGTTCCTAACTATAGAATGAATGAATGCTTACATTTTATATCAATGGAAATGCTGGTCAGGTGGTCAGGCTGTTAGTTGTATGGCTGACTCTAAGTGATTATGGCTGAAGGGGGGGGGGGGAAAAAGAAACTTCTACGCAACTGGCCCTGAGCTATTGGACAACTGTAAGGCTTGGGTTGCTTTCTGGCTTTGGCTTATTTTCCTGTCTCTGTAAGTGAGAACTATCAAAATGGGTATCAATACTAATATCAACTCCCCCAATGCCAGGATGGGCTCCTCCAGGCCAAGGGCAACACAGCCCAAGATGTGAAGGACTAAAAATGCCTGTGGTAATCTATCCTTAAACCTTTCTAACTTTGATCTTTTCTAGGCTTCATTATCTGGAGGCAATAAAAAGTTAAATGGTGAACTGTTAGGTGATGTGGGAGCTGAAATTGGCAGAGAGGGTCTGATACAAACATTATTTTCCAGCTCTGATGTATGTAAGATTTTGGCTGGTTCTCTTCTGTTTAGTTAAAACAGCGGGAAGCTGAAGTGGCACAGTGAAGCACTTTCTAATCTGGTAAAGGTGAGTCAAAAAACAGCTTCCACTGAACAGGTATAAGGTAAATAAAGTCATTCATAAACGTATGCCACGAGCATTTTTTCCTTTGTTGAAGGGAATGAAATGCCCATGCTGGCCATGCTTAACTGTTAAATTACACTTTTCAATGGTTGCCAATTTGGTTTGGGGTTCTGGATCTTAAAGGGGAAATAGTGGGGCACATTAACAATTTATCATTTAAATACATATTAATTGATGTAACTGATATAGAAGAATGATAATTTTCTGTGAAAGATGAAATCTAATTTGATCATAATGGGAATATCCATCTCGCAATTTACAGAGTATTTCACTGCTTGCAACCATTGAAAGAAAAACATCAGCCAGAAACCTGCCTGGAGTGTGTGTGTGTGGGGGGAGGGGTGTTTAAAATGAAGATTAATTTAAAAAGCAAAAAATTTTTGCCAGTGGTCCTGCTAAAAGATGAAGTCCTTTTACTCTTGTTCAGTGCTGCTAATTGACATTGACCTGTTACCTGTGACCAGCCTTGTCTTTTGGTGAGCGGTAGCAAACTAGAAAGCCTCCACGACAGCAAAGCAACATCATACTTTTAGTTCAGCCTTCTAGTAAAAAAACCCTCCATCTCAAAGCCTTAGAGAGAACCCTCTCTTACCAGCTTTTCCACTATTATCACAGATTTCTTATATTAAAAAAAAAAAAAAGCTCCAAGCATTGCTTTCATGGACTATGTACATAAGTGCAAAAAAGGTGTGTCTCACACATTCGCACCCTAACTGAGACAATCAGTTAACTGCAGCATATGTCTCTTAAACACTGTTAAGGGGTCATTCCACAGTACCTTTATGTATGGTTTTACAAAGATGAATTAATTTTAATCTATGCTTTTGTCATTCTTTAATCCCCATTTGGATGTATTTGTAGAGGTACGTAATTCCAGAAGAGAGAAGTTTTGTAGCTACGGCTATGCCACTTGAATAGAGTAATCTTGAAAATATAGTTATGAAAAAAAGGTCAGGTAATGTATTATAAATACAAAACCATTGTGTTTTGAAGTCTAGATACTGTGGAATAACCCTATCCACACAACAAATTCTATAAGCTATAAAGCCTGATTCTGGAATCCATGTGTTGTAAACTTTTTGATCAAAAAGTCACACAAAAACACAAATTCAGGCTTCATGTGGGAATTTGGGATAAACAATCAACCATATCTGTTTTCTGAGCTTTGAGCTGTATCTTCTACATGCTCATACTGTCAAAAACCATGTACAGTTTACAAGTAAAATTTTCACAAAAAAGTGTGTCTAAAGGTAGCCATGTTGTAGTTTTGTTGCTAAAGCAACGACTAAATATAATTAGTTAAAATTATTATTTGTACATAAAGTTAAGTTTGTTCTTAAACTGTGAACTGTAAAGAATAGTTATGCACTATAACCTACATCTTGTCATGCTTCAGTGTCAGTTTAGAACATATCTAGGCGAATTGAATACATGTAGTAAAATCTTAAACTTTCTCTAACTCTCCTTCACAATTAAGTTCATTAGTTACTTAGAGATATAAAAAAGTAACAAAATTAAAACCTTAAAAACTAACAAGAAAAATGAAAACATGGCACCAATTAGTGAGCTGGTGCTCAGAACCTATATTTGTAATTATATTTACAGTTTGATTAGGCTATGGACTAAGTTTGCCCAAAAAAGATTATTCTTTTACATACTGTTTATTCTATTGCCTTCAACAGGCACTAGTAAAATCAAAAATTAGGCCACTATCTTCCTAAATCTATTAAACAGAATTGGGAAATCATATTTCCCTCAATCATATTTCTCTATTTCTATTTCAATGTGTGTGAAATGTAGAAGAGATAAAAAGAAAGAGGATTCCAGTTTCTAATGATTCTGTGCATCACAGCCTACCCTACAGACTAAAACAAGTTGGAAGCCTTGGGGCTGCATTTTACCTAAGAACATCCTCATCCACACTCTCCAAAGGAAGAAGGGAAGAACCAAATAACATTCCAAGTAGCACATGGGGCCTTCCCTGCATATTATTTAATAAAATTTAATGCCAATATTGTCCTTATTCAGACATCACTATGCTTACTGGTCATGCCATTAAAAACAGATTCAAGCTGTAAAGATTAATTTTATCTGGCTCCTGCTGATGGTAGGGAGAAGGTACTTGCTTTTCCCAAATTGGAGAGCTAGTGAGCTGAGGCTGCCCATTAGTGAACACAGCCTAGTGGCGTAGGACAACACTTATGGCAAGATCAAAGTGCTTTAGCATGTTCAAAAACGGATGGAGAAGATTGATGGAGTAGAGAGAGGATGGCTTTTCACATCATGATTAACTACAAATTAAAAGACTCTAACCTAGACAAGTGAAATGAAATGCAACAGCTGGTTGTGGAATCATGCTCCAATTGCAAAAGTAAATACTGTATTTAAATAGCAATTTTATGAATCCATTTAATTTTAATCTAATTTTAATCCCTCTTTAAAATATACTTATGTTATGGTCACATAGTGCTTTCTTTTTAAAAAAATTGACATTACTAAAATCCTCTTAAAAGATAACTTTTAGATTATATTCTCTGTATACATGACCTGATTTATCCAAGTTTCAGCACTCTTGCATACTTTTGCAAAAGGCTGAGAGAAATGAACAAAAAGAATAATTTTGGATAAATAAAAATAGAGGCCCTTGTAAATTACAAAGCTTATAAAATGTTAACTAGAATCACAGGTGATTAGAATTTTATATATACAATTCATCCAGTAAATTTTTGTTTAGAGTCACTGATTAGCTTTGTGACTTCTCTTTTTAACTGGAAACTTAAAGTCTAATGACTTACTTTTCTTCTTTTCTTTTCTTGAATAAAGACAACTTGAATAAGTCATTGCACAACTAGTTTCAAGAGTGCTATCTTAAAATTGCATTTTTGTCAAAATTCTTTTCCATCTGATCAAAACTTTAGTGCTTTAAGTTTTCTTTAAGTTCGTTTACAAAGCAACTTTTAAAATGCCAACAATATAAAAAATTGTGGCACCAAAAATATAACTACTCTGAATACCCCTCGCTAAACCTCTTACTAAAAAATGTCATTATTAATGTCTTCCAGTGCTTAAAGCAACATGAAACCGCTGTACTCTAGGTTGATCATCTGTGTCCATCTTCGTCAGAGGTTTAAAAAGTTAAATGAGACAGCATGTTGCATCAAAATGTCAAACTACACAAAAAAGTTCATTTTCCACTTAAAACGTCTCAACTCTTTTAAGGAATACATCCAGACTAGCTCAGGTGCATCCTTCCTGGATTTGTGTGATCAGGTCTGCCCTTCTGGAGAGGCAGTGGCACAGCTTATACAAAATTCAGTTCCATACACAGGTTATTTCACAAAAGCAAACTCTACTTTGTTTAACAATGTTCAGATTTGGGGAAACAGAAATTAAGTGGTTCAAAGAATCAATAGGTGAAAGTCAGGATATTTCTTGTTTTCTAACTCTAGGCAACACTGTCAATAGATGACAATGGCTCTATACAAGCAAGACCATTTAGAAATCACTGATGACCATAATTTGGATTGATAATTAAGATCAACAGGAAATCAACTACCAAAGAGCTCATTTTGTTCTTTTGTATCCTGAGCCAAATTGATCTGCTTCGGGACGGAGTCTCAAATGTTCTGAAGCACAAACAATGTAAAACGGAGGAACGAGTGGGAGCCAGGATATGCTTTTGCTCCCGACTACCACCAACTAGTGAGGTAGCCTTGGGCAAGTCACATGCCCCGGGCCTCAGTTTCATCAACCTTGAAAAGGTTTTGCCAACTCCATCGTTCTGTGATTCAAACATTACTAGCTGGCCTACGGTATCCTAAATCAGATTTACTCTTTGCTTGTCATTCTCATGAAGGAGAAAACAAACCTGTGGTACACAGCAAAGTTGACCATTTTATATTTTCCAGTGAGAGAATATATATTTAGTAGAAAATATTAAATCTATCTAAATTGGTGCAAAATATCATATGGTTCCACCACTGTATAATAATAGTAACTTTAATAACTGAGTAGACTCGGGGAGGTATGCCACATACAATATGAACTAATTACTATTTTACTTGGTTATAAAATTACTTTATAAGTATTAGCAATGTGAATTCAGCTCAGCTTTGTGGAGTGTGGCCACTCTGTCTTACCAAAAGGGTGCTAAAAACCTTTTATAATACCAAATACGTATAAAACAAACAAACAAAGGCTTGTTTATGATGTGAGAGACTCTGTTGTTAATAAAGTTTGGGAAAGGCCAAGACAACACTTGACATCTATCACAGGCGCTTGCTCCTTCACTGAAGTATTAAACAAAACGAAACTCAGATGAACTGAAGCGGAAGACAACTGTGCAAATCCTTCCTAGAACTTTTAAATAAGTCAAAGAGTAATTTTAAATGTCTCCCTGCCCCCCTCCCCACCCCTGCCATTTCTCCAAACCTATACTCAGGCTCCAACTGCGATCAATAGAAAAGATTGTCCATTTGGAGAGGAAAGGCCTTGCTCGGAACCAATTCTCTTTCACCCTGACTGACTTTCGCTAGATTGCCTCTTACTTATTATTCAAAGAGTAGTCCAAAGAGCATGAGACATTTGCATTCAGAAAATGGCACTTGTGTAAAAGGTTACATTGCAATGGTTTTTACACACTTTCCTCCAATATCTAAGAGCTATCTCGATGCCCCCATCTCCCTGTTTACTGTATAACCGGTAATGAGAATACCTTTAAGCCTCCAAGTACCAATTTCTCAGCTGAAGATGACAAATGGCTCAGTTTTAGACACCCAACCTAAGAGACAGGATCCTTGAGCCACAAAAAATGTAACGGGCACTTTAATTTTTAGTATAAATGCTGAGAAATTCATTTAAAGGTAATTTCTAGTTTTTCAAGCTATTTAAGGAGTGAAATTAGGGATTAATGTTTTAAGAAGTTCCCTGTTTTTTGCAGGTAATTATTTCTCTCTCACAAAAAATCTCGTAATGTGATCATATTAGGCAAGGTCAGATCTACAGGCACAAATTATACACATGCATGTTTATGAACAGGTTTTGTGCACATGCAAAAGCGAGGCCTTTTAAATGTCTTCCCCAGGAAGCCTACAAAAATATTCTAAAGAGAAAGGGAGCATATTAACATTAACCTGTCATGTTTGTTAAGCACGTATATTTCTGTTTCCCGTTAATAACATTTTAGTAGAAATCAATCACCATACATATACAGCAACACTATAGTATGTAAAAAACTAACACAACGCACCACACCACGGTACAATACAGTATAATCATGAGGAAAATGGTACTGGATATACCTGTTACATTCTAAATCAACCCGATGGACTACTGTGTAAACAAAACAGTAAGGTAACACTTCAAAACAGATGAACATTTATCCACCAAGAATGCACAGTAAGCCAACAGTTCACTGTGGAGATTCATTCAGCATAACGGTTATTGGAAAATTACAAACAATAATGTAACAAATTGCAAAATCTTATGATCATGTTCTACCTAATAATTCAAATAAGACAGATGGTAGTTATTAGTTTTCTATTTGTGTTTTCACATCTCCATTGATTGTTTAATGCTTTAATTTTACTTGAATTGGTTGGTTGGTATGTTTTTTTGTTTAATATATTAACTGCACCACGCTTATTATTGTGTTGGTAGAAGAGGACATACGAGAGTATACATAGAAAGGCCATATGGAGGTTCTCACGGAGAGATTCTGATACTCCATAACTCTGTTGTTCAGAATTTCAACTGGAATGGAAAGAAAAAAAAGAAAGAGTGAGAAATATTGAAGGGTTATTGAAGTGGGAGTCAGGATACTTGGTTCTTTTTCCAGTTCTGTGTGTGAACTATGCCAAGATACTCCTCACTCGGAGTTTCATATTCTACATCTGTGAAAGTGGGGCTGTTGGAAACGGTCACTAAAGAGTCATACACCATGAAAGTCTATGGTTCTCACTGAGTGCTAATGTAGAGAACTGCCCTAAGTTAACAGAGATGCACTCAATTGTTTAAGGCATTATCCACACACCGCCAAAACCTTCTGATGAACATCCACCCACCCATCCACTTCCTTCAACAAGCATATATTGATAAAACATGTTTGAAACCAAACGTTTTGAAATACGCAAATATTAAATAAACTTTAAACTTTTTATCTGAATGTTTTGGAGCTATGCAGAAATAGCCTGTGTGAAATCTAGGTACGTAGTATTTTGCAAAATTACATTTTTGAACATTGGAGAAATTTTTAACATCTGTTACACATCGAAGTGATTATAATGTGCCAAATACATCCAAATTTTCTAACGGAATCGAGCAAAAAGGAATCACTATTCCCAAACACGTTCTGCTGGAAAGTTCATTATATCTGACAATTTTCATTTACTTTGATGAGAAGCAGCCCATGAGAATCAGGAAGGTGTTTGCAAAGCCTGTAGTCTCATGTTTGGTGCCATACCCAAGTTGCCACTATCCCAAATGATACCCCTGAAACTATTACAATTTACAGTTACTTTAGTTATTCCATGTACTCAAAGGTGTCTTTTAAAAACATTCTTCATGTTTGAAGGGACCTATTTATCTCATGTACAGTTAGCTCCAGGCTCTATCCAGAACAGTTAGTGTTCTGGGCCTGTGTGTCTTCAGCATGAAAGAAATGCTAGCCAGCTTCTGAAGAACTGAGAATGGAACTGTCGCCTCCCTCGACTAAATGAAACGCTCTGGCTGGGAGCACTTCAAACTTTCAATGACTAATGTATGCAATTCAGAATTGGTACACTTGTTTAATAAGTCCCTCTAATTAATTAAGATACCTAGGAATCTAAAGTGGCTTCAGAAGTCACATGTTCCAAGTGAACGATTGCGCAAATTAAATGTGTGCTATTACAGGCTTTAAACCAGGCAAAGAGAAGATCAAGGATAGAGGGGAAAATCAAACAACAACGATAAAAATTACAAAAAAACCATGATTTGAATGAAAATAACGATTAAAGTGCTAAATTATGTCACAAAATTCAAAACAGCTGAGCAATTCTGATAGCCTTAAATGGGTAGCAACACAAAGTGGCTGACTGTAAAAGCACTATTTTCTATACTGTCATAGGAGAAGCATATTGCTTACTGTCTTTAAGAAAACCATCTCAGTGAAATTCTGAAAAAATTACTTTGCTTTACTTCAGTTAAAAAAAAACAAAGCTAGAAAAATGTTGAAGAATTCAAATTCAAAGGTGATCTATGCCTTTGGCTAACAAATCATACGCCTTCAATAACAGGAAAACATTTCAGAGTTTGTAAGCTCCTTGGGAAAATACAGTACCGCTGTCATTTTCATATAAAAAATTGCATATTTGCTATCCACATTTCAATTTGGAAAATTTAGAATGCTTAAATCAATGTCTGTTATAAGCAATGTCTATTAATGAAAATATTTAAAGCCTTTAGCAAGTTCAATTGTGTTAATAAAATATATAGCCTACAAATATTGTTCATATTAATACTTAAAGAAACTTACTGTTCTACTGGTAACTTCTACATCTGTGAAACAAACATGCTGCTATTCAGTTCATCTATTGATAATGGGGGTATCTACAGTAGTAAAAAAGATTTTAGATTAAAACAGTTTCTTGAGAGAATTCTGTTTATTTTTTATTTATTTATTTATTTTTTAAAAAGATTTTTTTTCCTTTTTCTCCCCAAAGCCCCCCGGTACATAGTTGTATATTCTTAGTTGTGGGTCCTTCTAGTTGTGGCATGTGGGACGCTGCCTCAGCGTGGCTAGATGAGCGGTGCCATGTCCACGCCCAGGATTTGAACCGACGAGGCACTGGGCTGCCTGCAGCAGAGCACGTGAACTTAACCACTCGGCCACGGGGCTGGCCCCGAGAATTCTGTTTATTTTGTTCACTGCTTGGACATGGTAATTAATAACTATAATCAATTTCACAGAAAAATTTAGACATATTAACCATATCCACTAATAGTTAAGTTTGCAAAGCACAGATTAGAATGTGGTTTGCTCTCCCAATGAATTAATGCTCTGTGTGCGATATGGTTCTCAGACTTGTAATTGAAACAGCAGTGGAACTTGTAGTTTTTAAGCATGGCTACGACTTTAATAAGGCAAAAAGGCCATAACATTACACAATAATTATTGTATGTATTTCCTTACAATTTCAAGACTCCCCCAAAATTTATAATTTGCCTTGTGACTCCGCCTGTAAATACCTTAAGCAAATGAAAATCAAAAGAACACAAGCACAGCTAACGTCAGTAGGAGAAGGAATTTCTGATGTAGTCACTGGACAATGCTATCTGTGCCTTGGAAAGAAATGCGTCCTCTTGCTTTCTTTCCAGCAGATCTGAAGGTACAGGTAATGACTGTACTAAGTGAAGGTTCAAATGCAATAATCAAAAATGGTAGTGAGATAAAATCAACTCTCCTCCTGACTAATGAGGAAGCATTTAAGAAATATTTAGTATATGCATTTGAGGATTGGTGTAGTAGCAACAATCATATATATAGCATATCAAGAGTGACATCGGATAACCGATTAAAAATGAGAAAACTGGGACCGGCCGGGTGGCGCAGCGGATAAGTGCACATGTTCCGCTTTGGCGGCCCAGGGTTCGCCAGTTCGAATCCCGGGTGTGGACATGGCACTGCTCATCAAGCCATGCTGTGGCAGGCGTCCCACATATAAAGCAGAGGAAGATGGGCACGGATGTTAGCTCAGGGCTGATCTTCCTCAAAAAAAAAAAAAAGAGAAAACTGCTGATTCATCTCAGGATGAGTAGCAAAGCAGATACATCCGTGTAGAGTATACACAAAAATAAAATTTCTAAATGTAACAACTGCTAAGGAAACACATAAGAATATGGACCAATATCTCTCACCAATCCAAAAAGCATATACTGTGCCTTACCAACACACTGTAGTTATCTAGGTCTAAACAGGTGAAATAAATGGCCAAACCTGATTGCCTGTAGCTGTTGCAGCGAAGGGAACGCTGGTGGCAGGTGTTGTTGCTGCAGACACAGTGGTAGGTGTAGCACCGTGCATCATGGGCACTTTCAGTAGGAAACCATGGAAGCAACACACAGGAGGGTGGTGCAACCATGACATAAACGATGAAATGGGGCGTGGTACGTATCACAGCAACAAGCCATGTGACATCATCATGATGGATACACCAGGGTGCAACATGCAATCACAGTCAGTGCAAAGCAACACAGCATGGAAGGGGAAAAATTTAAAAAGAGAAAAGGTGAAAGCCAATTATAGTTACCATTAAGGAAAACGGGATCATTCTCAATATTTAGTTAGTTTTTGAGTAGAATCACATTGTAATTGACTGAAAAGGCCAAATTTTCAGAAGGGTTATAGTGGGTACATATGCCAACATCTCATTTTTACCAAGGTCATCAATATGAATAGCTAGTTCAGCACACAAGTAACTGGGTTTCACATTCAAAATGGGAGCAGAGAACTGTGACTTGGTGTTTGGATTCACTAACGTATATATACGAGTGCTGTCACTAGACTGCAGACGCAGAGGGGCCGTTTTATACATACTTACCTGATCTGCATGCAAAAAAATGGCAGTGTGATTGGTGGCTATATGACAGGGGAGCAGATACAAAGAATACAGTGGACTATGCATGCAGGTTTTTAAGTACACCTCTGGCAAACCCCCTCGGGAATTTAGGCTATTTATCAAACAAACACATGGGGTACTTCATAGTAAATATCCAACAACATCTTGTCTGTAAATATTACAGCTACAATGGCTAGCAGCTGCAACATCTCTTTCAGGATGTTTTCTCTTTGCCTTTTCTAGTTTCAATCTCATTTGGAAAGCTTTTTCGACGCTTTTCTCATTTCTAGCTCATTTTGGAAAGCAAACCAAGGAATTAATTTGTAAATGGCAAGCACGCATATATAATAATTTATGTCTACATTGACTGAATTCCGATTTTCTGAAAGTCTACAGAGAAACTGAACGGCCTGGAGAGAGAAAAATCAACATATGCAACGTCATAGAAACCACAAATGTACCCCAAATGGTGATTGACAGAAACTCTGTAGTTATCCCTTATGCCGAGCTCTAGTTATCCACTACTTGTAGCCATGCCAATTCCAAAAACACTCATATTTTCCTTTTGGGAGCACAGCAACTATACAGGAAGCAGCACCGCTGAAGCATGCACTTTGCATTCCTACATAGAGCTCTTAGGTGAAAGGACAGGGGAGTAGAGTCACAAAATGGGAAGACAGAGACACATTTCACAAACTTGCAGAAGTCTGTCCTTCCAATCATCTGCATATGCTAGTCTTGTTAGAATCACTGATTCTTGTTAGAATCAATGGAAATATTTTTCATTCGTATCGGGGACAGGCAATCCCTCAATAACAGAGGCCTCACCTCCCTTGCCAGGGGTCACACCCTGCTATGTTAGAGAGTCTACAATGTGGCTGTCATTTTGACCTTTTGTTTTATCTCAATGAACCTGTTGGTCCCTTTTGGGCTCTGCATCTACTCTGGTCAACCAATGGGATAGAGGTCAAGCTGTTGTAAACTCTCAAAAAGGATGAAAGGATAGAACATGGGGTGGAGTGGGATAATTCCTCCCTGTATGGAACAGAGCTATTTCCTCCTGGTCTTTTCCTAGTGCCCACGGGGACTATAGGAGGAGAGAACTCCCCAGGAGTTCTCAAGAGAGAAACAAGTTATTTTCTTGTTTTCTTCAGAATTAGTGACACACAAAATGGTTTCGAAATGGCTACCATATTGCATTGGTAGCTAATTAAAGAATTTGTGTGTAACTGGTTATTAAAAATCACAGGCCCTCAAAGACTCATTTTGAGATGATTCAGTTGTGCCTGATTGCTGTGCAGATGGCGCTTCATCCTAGAACACTATAGAATTCACCACAGAATACTGCAGAATGCTGTAGCTTTGCTTAACTCATCCTTTCTCAACTCATCTGATCCAAGTATTAAATCATTTAGACCTTAGGGATAATTTTGGCGGAGAGGAATTGTTTTGTTGTACTTTACAAATAAAATATTTGAAATATTTCACAACTTCTTAGTAACAGATGTAAAGCTAAGAACAAAACTGCCCATTCTGGATAGATAAGAAATGTTTCAAAATATTTCAGCTGCAATTTTTGGGGTTATTTCCACCCAGGAATGGCAGGGTCAGTATTTCACCACAGTGGCAACCAACTAGGAGTTGAGAGTGTACGAGTATTATGATTCCACACAGATGTGAAACAGACAGCATCATATTAAACCTTAAATACTCAGAAAATGTCCAGCCACATCATTCATTCATCCCTTTCACAGTCACAACAGAAAAACATTTTTTTTCAGATTAGAAAAAGTTGAGAATTTTTGTACAAAACCTACCAATACTTGAAGCGGGTGCCATGCACAGTATTGGCCCTGTACACCATGCAGAAAAGCGTGAAAAGCAAAGAAAAGAGATATTTCATTATTAAAGCTTTACTGATAGAAATAATTTTTAACCAGAACGATATTCTTTGCAATATGAATTAATCAGCACATGCAAATCCACTAATCTCCCATGCTTACAATTACAGTTTAGTTTTAAGATCACAAATCATGGTAATTAAAGTAATTCTTGGATTCTTAGGTATAAAAAGGAACATTAATTTTTCATTAAAGGAAATACCTAACTTAAATTTCATATTTATTTTGGACAAATACATCCTAATTAATTTTAATCAAGAAGCAGAGAATTTTAATTTATTACATCTATTATTTTCAAAATATGCACCAGGATCTGGTGCCTGGTGCCAAGAGTTCTATTTAGAGCATTCGTCCATTATCACTGCCTCCTCCACCTCGAAACCAAGGACTTGACGGTGAACATATGGCAAACAAGCTTTTCATCAAGAGGGGGCTCGCAGCCTGACAGGTTTTTATTTTGCTATTAATTAAGGGGAAAGGCATTCTTCTGCCATTTTGGCTCATAAATCCAGACTTTAAATTAGCCAAATCCAACAAAAATGTATAACAACTATAAAAAATGTGTTTTTAAAATGATATTGTGAAGAACTATCATGGTTAGCAACTAGACAAACAACTTTTTTTTAATGGATTCTTTCAAAATTAATTAACTGATTAATTTATCAGGTAACCAACAGGTTTCTTCAAGTCCAGGTATACAATACTATGTGTTCAGTATGTTTATATAATTCACAAGGCTTTTTAAATTAACTTTAAATCATGTCATTTTCATTTAATAATAATTTCCAAGCTGGGGCATTTATCATTCTGGCAATAAAAAAGAATTACTGTACTCCCAGTGGTTAGTATTTTCAACTTATTCCTAAGAGACTATATGCTTGTTCTTAAAGTACTGAACCACATATATGACATTTATTTGAACAAAGCTCTGGCTGAAAAGTTTCTATTCAATTTGGTGCAAAACTGTTACGCTATTAAATATAGTTGAATGTAGGAGGTAAAAAAAAAATATGCTGCAGGGGCAGGCCCGGTGGCATAGTGGTTAAGTTTGCGTGCTCTGCTTTGGTGGCCCAGGGTTTGTGGGTTCAGATCCTGGGCGCAGACCTAGCACTGCTCTCAAGCCACACTGTGGCAGCGTCCCACATGCAAAATAGTGGAAGACTGTCACAGATGTTAGCTCAGTGACAATCTTCCTTAAGCAAAAAGAGGAAGATTGGCAACAGATGTTTGCTCAGGACCAATCTTCCTCACCAAAAAAAAAAAAAGTGTCAGGAAAATATGATAAACTGCTATATACTTTTATATTAACTCGTTTAAGACTTAGAGACTAAAATTACACGTTTTATACATATATATATACATACACATACTATACTGTAATATAAATTTAAGGGTAGTTTTATTATAACTATCTTTGGCATATCAAAGATAGATAGACTACATTTTTTTGCAATGCTGAAGCTGGGAAACATTTTATTGAGGGTAGATCACTGTCCTTGAAAGTGATACCTAAGAGTCAAGAAATGAGTTTGAGACTGAATCAAGTGAATCAATCATAAGAAGCAAAAATTAGACAATGCTAAAAAGAAAAATGTCGACAGTTTTTTCTAGTTTGATTTCCAACCCTTAATTTTCAGGAATCATAGAAAAACAGTTGTTCTATACACTAGCAGATCAAGCATAACTGCCTTATTTCATTTCTAACCAAGATACCTGTCGACAGTCCTTGCATAAAAGTTCTTTGGAAGCGGGAGTGCATTGTATACATTCACAACCTCACTAAACTCACAGTGCCCAGAGCCCTGTTCTCACCTGCAGGGATAAATGCCGGCTGCGGGAGCTGCAGGTTGGCCAGAGCCTGTTGGCAGTGGAAAACACTGGGATTAAAGACCAGGGTGGCACCATTGGTCTTTTCAAGCGCCGATCTCTTTGGTATCAGTTGAAGTGCACCAGGCTGTAGGGCCTGTGAGGGAGGGATGGATTAATAAATAGTACCAAAGAATGTAAAAAATGTACTCAAACCAAGCACGCAGCAGTTAGATAAGATATGGCCTGGGAACCCTTTGCAAGCGTGTCCATCGAGCAAGATTACTAACTGCAGAGATGAAGCAATTCGCTAGATGAGCACTTGGTCCAAAACAGAAAAGAAACATACAGGGAAGAAACAGCTTTTCAACTTCACTAATTCAAGCAAATGAAAAAAGAACCTCATCACTTGGGCAGGATGCAACAGGAAGCTGTTAACAGCAAATATTCATTTCAAAATAACATCTCAGGGATGCTCATCTATTAATCGATTAAAATGAGATTAGCAAGAGCAACAGCTATAGCAGAAAAGAGATTTTGTCCACTTTAAATTCCAAGATGAATCTAGGAGATAAGTTGTATATAGGTGAAAAAACAGATGTCAGTAAATCGGAGTCCGATACTACAGCTCCGTAAAACAAAGTCCAATTTATACAAGGACTTCAGGTCCAAATCCTCTAACTGTATATTTCCCAACTAACACGTGAGGAAAAAGCAAAGGAATTATTCCTCCCCCGCCACCCACCTCACCCAGATACCATAGATAGCAAAGTATTTGCAATTCTCATTTACAGAGACTTGCTGTGCATTTTGGTATGTACCATTTGCTTTGTTACGTCCCTAGATCGTTTAATTCTAAAACATATTAGCTTTTTAAAATTCTCCTTTCATGTCTACAATGCTTTCAAAATCTCCTGTGCTTATAATACTCCATCAAACTTGCCCTGGGATCAGATGCATTGAAAAAGTTTGACATTACTTTTCATTTTTTTTCTCAGCAAATTGCACATTACTTAAAAAACATGCCCCGGCAACAACAATTAGGTATGCTCCAAATTCTCAAGGAGACAGAAACACTTGTGCTGAGGAACTAGCCTTCCATATGCCAAAAAGGGGCACACCGCGACCTCCTGATTCTGTGGATAAAGAAGGCCTTAAAGGTGTCTCTACTTTCACTCAAGAACTAAATATAACTTTTCAAGTCTTTCTCTTTTAAATGCATACAAGCTACTTTCAGTGAAGTCAACCTGAACTATGCACATGAACACGAACAGGGTAAAAATCTCTCTTTTACAGAGCATTTCAACTCCGGATCCCGAAACATATAGAAAGCGCAAATTCTTCATGAAGCCTTCTTTGTTTAATCTTACCTCGAACAAATTCCTATGGGCCAATTTGACCTTAGCACTAAGACTCTGCTCTGATCAGTCACTTAGAAAGGAATTTTATGTTGACATTCAAAAGTGTCAATTGAAGGCCTACTATATAATATTTAACTCTGTACATGGAAATTTGGGGCTAACTTACATGCATGCTTTCCAAGCACACCCAAATGATCAGAAATGGGCACATACATCTGAAGGCCCCATGACTATGTGACGGACAGGTGCACAATGGTACAAGCAAGCCATTCCTTGTACATCTCAGGCATATGAGAACTGTTATTTTTAGGGGGCCAACTGTGTTCCTCCCCTGTATAATAGGCTCATGCTCGTTCTGAACTCTGTGCCACCAAGAGAAATAACGCAAAGATTGGAGACTTAAATTTTGCATTGAACATTCTGGATACCTTCCTGTTTTCACAGCTTAAAATTCCCTCATTCAAAAGAATTTAAGAAAAAAATATTTGGTGAAGCCTTTTTTTAACATTCGTTAATGGATTATGTTGTTCAGATCAAGGGAGAAAATAAGTTTGTTCTACTTTCGTGCTCAGATCTATCATGAAGTAATGGGTTTGGTTCTGAGAGAACACGGGTATTCAGAAAATGCAACACATCCAAAATTGGTGCTGTGTCCTTAAAGCCATAATCTACGAGGAAAGTTTGGAGAAATTTGGGGTATTTGGCTTAGAGGAAAGACATGAGAATCACACTCATATGAAATAGAGATTGATTTACTTTTGTAATAAAATAAGTTCCAGCTACAGCAGGATAGATTTCAACTCAGTATGAGAAAAACCTTCTTAAGAAAAAAGGGATGTTAAAAATAAACGTATCTCTCTTATGAAAAAGCAAGGCCTCTGTCATGGGCTTCAGGGTCATGTAGATGATTTTTTCCACAGCCAGGAAACATGAGGTTTCCTCAGGGTTTTGTCCCTTATTGAGATTATACCCTAATACAAGAGAAAAGGCCCAGACTGAAAAAGAAATAGCAAGCTGCCTATCAAAACAACTGACAGCTGTGACTAACTTAAGTAATAACAATTCCTATTTCTCAACCCATCATACTGTAGTGTTATACAAATATTTTTCCTACCTCCTACCTTTCAGTGTTAAGTAGAACTAACTTTTCCCCAAGACTGAATTGCTAGGGCAACGCAATAGCCGAGCTTCTTCTCCCCACCACGTAGAAATTTCCCACACTCTTGGCTGGATGCTGTCTTGAAACCACTCCTCCACAAGGAAAGAGAGTCTGAACCTAACCTATGGGAAATTAGAACCTACTTAGCATCCCAATCGTCCAAGTCCTCTGTTTGAAAGGCATTAAGGACGTTACTAGCTAGCAAAGTGCACGTGAAGCTGGCTCACAGAGCAAGGAGGCAATTTTCCGCCTTTTTAGGATATTAAGGTTAGTTAGACTATAAAAAACATTCGAAAATAATTTACTATTTAAATTATATAATTTACTCTTTCTCAAAAAAATGGGAGAAAAAGCACAGTAGATTAAAATCATTAGTAAAGCTTTTAAATAATTAGGTTTAGAAAATTTTAGTGACTGAATTAGAATAAATAGATTCTCTCTTTTCTAACTTGTAACCTTGGCTATTCATATTAAGGGCCACTCATGACTATCCAAGATTATGGCTACAGGATATTAGACAAGTTGAGGAATACACTGATCATTTACCCCAAAACAGACAGTCCACAGGCCCTGGGCTGTTCTTACCATCATGTTGGCAGCTGAATGGTACATCTGGTGATGAGCTGCCTTGAGCTTAGCTTGCAAGTGTGCAGGAGGATGAAAGTACTTGCATTTCTCCCGGGAGCATCGACCTTTGATGTAATCCATGCAGATAGTCACAGTATTATCACTTGCCTCAATCATGGAAACATCTGTGGGGTGAGCATAGCGGCAATCGTTCTCACCACGGGTACAATTTCCACGCTGAAATTCTCGGCAAACCTCAAAGGAAAAAAGAAAAACCACATCACATTGAAGCCTGGAAGGTGATTAACTTTTATTTATTTTGCCAGTGAATGTAAGAGCAATAGTATACATTATTCTATCATCTGTTTATGAAAAATCTACAAAGTTGAAAGATAACATAAAGCCGTATTCACTATGAGATGTAAACAGACAATATTTCTATTCCTAGAAAACAAATTCCATTCTTCCCAAAGGAAAATTGTCTATTTTCCTTACATTGAAATAAAAATGCTTCAAAGTATTGCTGAAAAAATTTTTAATCCTCCACTTAACACACAGCGTAAAGTGTATTGAGCTGAGTTTGCAAGAGGGGGTTATTTTGTTAAGGTCCAAGATGAGCCTTTTCACACGGCAATGTGTTTTTCCACAAGCAGACTTGTGGACCATGACTGAATTACGTGTACAATGAGATTCCGTGATGATACATTGCAAAGCATTTACAGAGCGGCCAGTGGAGCTGACTTTGTAAGAAACTGACTAGTTATTTATTTCAATTTATGAAGAATTACAATTAAAAGAAGTTTGAGGGACTTCCACAAACCAAAAAGCTGTTTGAAATTTCTTTTCTTAGGCATCAAGAGATATTTATCTAGTACATCATTCTTTTTTTTTTTTGCTGAGGAAGATGGGCCCTGAGCTAATATCTGTTGCCAATCTTCCTCTTTTTTTTGCTCCCCAAAGCTCCAGCACATAGTTGTATATCCTAGTTGCAAGTCATTCTAGCTCTTCTATATGGGATGCTGCCACAGCATGGCTTGATGAGTGGTGCGTAAGTCTGCGCCCAGGACATGAACCAGCGAACCCTGGGCTACTGAAACAGAGCACGTGGACTTAACCACTCAGCTATGGGGCCGGCCCCTAGTACATCATTCTTACAACAACTGTACAACTGAATCAATGCACTTCATCACAGGGTGTCATTGCAGTAATACACTGTTTAACATAAGCTAAACACCGAAGCAGGCTTATTTAAAACATTCAAAACATTGGCTCTGAGAATGATGCTTTATGCATAAGGTTAATATCTACCCTATATATATTTATATATTTTTACACAAATACCTCCAGTTTATCTGAGCGCATCAGTTTTGGACCAGGAGCTCCTGTCAATGCAAAAGGCGGGTTTCCAGAAATCAGAACAGGTGCATTTGGTAAAAGTTCAGCAGGAACCAGGCCCATTCCAGGATGAGGTAAGTAAGGATTGAAAGCCATGGCAGGATTAGCTGCAAGTGATGGAGTCATAGGAAAAGAAGTCTGTATGTTTAAAAGAGAAAAAAAGGTGTTAGACGTAAGCAGATTATTCCTATTCTTACACAAGGAGGCATTCTTTCAAAAAGTCTAAGCCATATCAAAATTTACCAGTGTATCTTCTGATTAATTTTTAGTCTCATACGAATTCCCACATAGGAGCTTCTTTTAAACCAACAAATCTCTTTAAGTAACAAATTTATTGGTAAATTGATAAAACAAGCTACATAATTTTAACAGTCATGAATTAGACAAATTAAATCTCACTGATGGATTCTCTTCCAAATGTCACCAATGATATCACATATACAGGCAATCTGCTTCGTCTCCTGACATAGGCATGGCCTTTGCAGGCTGACTTCAGGTTCTCTCTCTCCTCCTTCCTCTTCCCCATCAGTACTGCTTGAGTTTAAGGCTGCCTGTCCCACCATAGTTCCCACTTGTCTACTAAACACTTGCTTCTCTTCTTGGTCCACTTTTAATTATGGAAGACAGGAAAGAGTTGAGGAAGAAAGGGGTATATTTATAAAAGTGAGGGGCCGGCTGGGTGGTGCAGCAGTTAAGTTTGCGCGTTCCGCTTCTCGGCGGCCCGGGGTTCGCCGGTTCAGATCCCGGGTGCAGACATGGCACCGCTCAGAAGGCCATGCTGTGGCAGGTGTCCCACGTACAAAATGCAGGAAGATGGGCATGGATGTTAGCTCAGGGCCAGTCTTCCTCAGCAAAAAGAGGAGGTTTGGCAGTAGTTAGCTAGGGCTAATCTTCCTCAAGAAAAAAAAAAGTGAGAACGAGCCAGCCCTGATGTCCTACTGTTTAAAGTTCTGTGCTGTCACAGCTTCACTGGCCTGGGTTTGGTTCCCAGTTGTGGAACCACACCACTTGTCTGTCAGTAGCCACGCTGTGGGGGTGGCTCACATAGAAGAACTAGAAGGATCTACAACTAGAATATACAACTATGCACTGGAGTTTGGGGAGTGGGAAAAAAAGAGGAAGATTGGCAATAAATGTTAGTTCAGGGCAAATCTTCTCCAGCAAAAAAAAAAAAAAGTGAGAACTCTAACAACTTCTTGCCATCTACCTAAAATGAGATTGGTGTGGTCATTTTTAAAAAAAAATAGAGGCCTTATTTCAGAAACTAATCTGACTTGCCTAGGTAGGGGGCCAGGTGATATCCACAGTTCAAAAGGAGGCCCTAAAAATGCTATAAGGACCCCTGTTAGTCAGGAAGAAATAAGATAACAGGACTATAAGGTACATAAACTAGAGTATAACTTGAAAAGAAAAGCCTTAGACATGCAAAGGGCTCTTATTGGTTTTTCTATTGTTTGAAAGTCCAGATCTCAAAGAGTTTGATATATGCATTGCCTTTATTATCAGTAATCACACAATTTATCACTCCACTATGCTGTTTTCCAGTTTGTTTCACATGTGGGTGTCTTTTCTTCTCAATGTGGTTATAATTTATTTGATAATTCCCTTTTCTCCCCTATAGTACCCAATAATTAGTGAATGCCTGATTGACTGATATAGTCAATGATGAAGTTTAAAAATAAATTTAAACATTTTAATGAATTAATAGCAAATCATGGGTAAATGCAGTACATTTCTAATAGTGACTCTATAAGGTAGTTAGTGCATTATTGTGCAACTGGTGGTGTCTCACTCTGTATCACTAACAGCATGTGTTCTTTCTTGCTTCCTTTTTATTTCTTTCACTAAAATAATAATGAATCTGTTGCACTGCCAAGCTGTGCCCACACCTTCTGCTAAATCACATTAATAGGAACAGCTCTAAATACAAGTAGAACAGGAGGCTGTGGAGTGTGAAGGGGCAATATATATTCACCGCCCCACCTCCTAGTCTGACGTGTAATTTTCACCAGCATAGCATTCTCCATGAAGCCTCTGTTATACAGCACGTTCAACTTAGAAGGAAGGGCTTCCCCAGTAGCACTCTGCCTTAGATGAGTTTAGCAAATTAGCTAACTGGTGCATTCAGAAGGACAGAAAGAACCGGGCCTCCCCAAACTGGCAAGTCTCAAGTCTCAAGTGAGTAGAGAAGGCATGGTGGCCAAGAGCTTTAAGAGGAAAGGGACGACACTAGGTGCCAGGAAGGATGATGGAGCAGTCAGGGGAGGTGCTTTATAGTTTGAGGACAAACAGCCAAGGGCTGACCCAGCCTAACTAGGCACCGTGATGTAAGAGGACACGTCACACTTCTCAGTGAATGAGACAGGAAGCTCCAGGAATTAGCTGATGTGATGTAATTTTACATAATGAGATAGGAATCTCTTGGAAACAGCCACCCAGGCATGCTTCAACAATAAGGCAGACTTTATCAATTCAATCATTTATGGTTGTCTCAAAATCAGCAAGAATCTCCTATGGTAAAAACTCCATATTTGAACCACACAATAGTACTCTTTGTTGACTGCTTTTTTCTCTCTGACTTTCATAGTAAATGTCTCCGTGAAGTCACCAGTCTATTTTCCTGGATACTTTTCGCTTTTGCCCTTTACACTGAGAAAAACCATTATTACATTTTTTTAAACTATTTAATTAAAAGAAAGACCTGCAGGTGAGTGGATTTTACAGGTTAAAAAATCATTATTTACTAATAAATACTGATCAATTGATAATATTTAAGCCTAATGTACGTGTAAACGATACTTCCTATTTACAATAGCTCTCAACTTCCGTAATTTTTTCCCTTCCTTTTTTGGGGAAATCTTTCTGGTTAACTTCTGCTTTCTTTGGAATATATTTTAACCTTCTTAAGGTTTTTTTATATGCTCCATGTGTATGAAAACAAGCTGTAAATTAATCAAAAGTTTATATAAAAAGTACAAGGGGCTTGCTGAAAATGTTTAGATTTTTTAAGGTTTCACCACAAACCATACCGTGCCATCTTTAGGTTTTAAGATGAGTATTATTAGCTTTTATGACCATTTCCTCCTTGAGTATAAACTTCATTCTATAACACTGTTTACTGAGAAGCAGCAAGTTCTTCTATTCCCAACCCTGGGACATAGGCAGGAACTCTGAACTTCTTATTTATTTGCAAATGGACATTTCTGTCTTCTCACCACCACCTCTGCCCCAGGGTAACCACTCCATTTCATAAATTTGACCATTCAAGGGCTTACCTTTGGCTAACATCCACCTGTTAAGTCAAGCAGCCTGCAAGCTCACACATTCAGCTTTAGTAAGCAACTTTAATCCTGTCTATACCTATATTGCAGCCCTTGATGTCTGTCGAGCTAACGTGAACCCATATGTGGGGTAATATTTACAAAAGAAAAAGGCTCCTAACAAGTTGAATCTGATTTCTGTCTATATCATGAAACAGTCTGGACGCTTAAATATGTTTCAGATAATCACTCGAACCTATATTATTTACTAAATGTTTAAAAATATGAGAAAGCTTTTCCTCCTAGAACCAGAGGTGTGGATCTTCATCTTTCTCTGAGTCTTAGAAAACCACCCAAAATGGTGGACACAACTGACTTTATGAATAAAAAGATCACCTAGATAGTTCTTTACTCTCAGTGTCTCTAGTAGTATCAGCTCGTGGGGTAGGAATTCCCATGAGTTCACAGTGACTTGCACAGGACCTAGGAACTATCAGGGCCTTAGGCAATGCCTCCTCAAAATCAATGCATGGCCTCTAGAATAGCGGCCTCTAATGTCTTTTGAGTCCTGCACTTCTCAGAGAGTCGGATGACAGCTGTGGACTCCGTCCATGGAAAAACTCATGTGTGCACAAAATATTATGTGTGATCTCAGGAAGTTCAAGGACCTCAGTGAAACTCACCCCTGGCATGGGCTTCTGGACAACCTACTGTTTAAGAGTTTGTGTTCTGGGGAAATGGTTGGCAAACTACCGCCCCTGAGCCAAATCTGACCCACCCTGTTTTTGTATGGCCAGAATGGTAAGAATGGTTTCTATATTTCTAAATGGTTGAAAAAATAAAAGATGAATAATATCTCACAACACATGAAAATTATATGAAATTCATATTTCAATATCCATAAATAAATTCCACTGTGCTTATTAGTAGAACTGTCTTGCAAAAAGTTGTAGATATTTGTTTTCTCTCTTGTTATACAAGTACCTAAACAATATCCTCAGCTTTTCCTCTTGTCTCACAAAGCCTAAAATATTTACTTAGCCATTTACAGAAAAGTTTGCTGACCCTTGTTCCAGAGGATTCCAAAGAATTCAGCACTCTATCAGTTTCTGGAGTAAAGCACTAATTATACCTAATTCTATTAACATGAATTTAACACTTGTGGCAAGAGTCCACAAGTTGAAAAAGTTTGGCTTTAGAAACCAATACTAAAGAATTCACTAAAATGTTCCTCTAGTTATTAAAATTAGGGTTCTCAACTATTCATTTATAGAACAATAACTACTCAGTGACTAAGAATGGGGAGATAGATGGAATCCCATGAAGGCAAAATTTTAGGAGCCACCAAATGTTGGTCTTAAAGGATTCTGAAGCACCTTTGAATAATAATACAATTCAATGAAAAACTATGACTCAAATAAATACGTCTGGTTTAAGCATACATTTTGGGAACATTGACTTATTACTTAAAATGGGTTATTCCTCAAGCTAGTATAAAGAAGTAAAAGTTAAAGTTTATGCTAAGTCAATCTTTGTGTTTCCTCAACAGCCTAGATGTATTCGTAGCTACTGTAATAATATCAAGGTCAGTCATGATTATTGTTGGATGAATGCAAAATACTTTGTCACTTCAGCTAATCCTGGCCTGAAGTCAACATAATAGAGGCCTCACCTTCCCTCTCTGAGCTCCTGTCTAATGGTGGATGAGTAAACATTTTCTTGTATAGGATGGTAAACATTTGGTAACAGTTTGTTGACTTGATTTTAAAACCAGGAAAATAGCACTCAACTTTTACTAGCACTCCTATTACCTTAATTTTATTACTCATTTACAAGCATTTATGTAGCAGAAAAGGAAGCCCCTTTCACTGTTACCAT